TTTAAAAAAAGAGCCCTTGGTCAGTACAACTTCCATTGTCCATATCTCAGTCCTATCATTCAGAATCATGATTAATCATAAGACATTTGGCTCTAGGATATTCATCACAGATATGGCATTATATAAAAACTGAGGTTAAAAAACTTACCAGAAAATAATATTTTGACGAGTAAATAAACTTTCTAAATACCCAATGAGACTCACAGATCTGTCAGGTGGAGTTATGGTATCAAATACGGTCTGTTTTAATAGAAGATCGTTACATTTTCATTTTTGTGTTAATGTGTGTACGCATGTGGTTTTGGGTTTGGGGGGATGGGGAAGTGAGATTGCAATAATGATGAAAAATTTAAACAAAGCGACTGGGGATTGGGAGACAGATAAATGGCGAAAAAAAAAAAAAGAAGACAAACATACATTAAAACAACAACCCTAGGTCAGTACAGCAGCAATTGTCCATATCTCAGTCCTATCATTCAGAATCAGATGTAAGTCATAGACATTTGGCTCTAGGATATTCATCACAGATATGGCAGTATGCATAAGCTCAGGTGACTATTCTCATTCACAATGGAGAGTGAAACTTTTGAACATAATCATAGGTCAAAACTAATTTAGGCATACACCGAAAATGTAACAAATCTATGACAGAAAAACAGAACACCCCCCCCCTCCCCCCAGTAAAACAAACAAAACAAGGAACAAGAACATATCTGATTATGGACAAGGAGTATTTGATACAATCGCTGAGCCTGAGAGAGTACCGTACTTAGTTTTGTATGAACTGTCCTTAACCAAAATCCAAATCATTGTTTCATACTCAAAGTAAAAAGGATTTATCCTGATGTGACTCAACTGAAAGTAACAATACTGATCTAGAACTCAACCACCCATGCCCGAGTGAAATAAAAATCTGAAAAAACAACAAGACAACACTCTTGGACAGAACAGCTGAGGTAGGCCATATCTCAGTCCTATCATTCAGAATCATGATTTAATCATAAGACATTTGGCTCTAGGATAATCATCACAGATATGGTTTGGTTTTATTTCGTGTAAGCTCAGATGACTACTCTCATTCGCAACAGCAGGTAAAATTCTAGAAGATAGTCATACATCGAAACTCATTTAGGCACTGAAAACCCAATACAACGAACCTGCGACAGCAAAACATTATGCACCCCACCCCCCCCCCCCCCCCCGCCCAATAAAGTAAAACAAAACAAGGAACAAGCACATTCTGATAAGGACAAACAAAAAGTATTGGACACAATCGCTCATCCAGTGAGAAAACAATAGTCTGTTTCGTAGGTGCTGTCCTTAACCAAAATCTTAATTTAAGTTTTATACTCAAAGTAAAAAGGAACTATCCTGATGTGACAGAACTGAAAGTAACAATACTGATGTAGAATTCAAACACACCATGCCTGAGAGAACTGAAAATTTCAAACATACATAAACCCCCCCCCAAAAAAACTCTTAGTCAGTACAGCTGAGGTAGGCCATATCTCAGTCCTATCATTCAGAATCATGATTTAATCATAAGACATTTGGCTCTAGGATATTCATCACAGATATGGCTTTCTCTATAACTGATGCGAAAACTTGAATTAATAATTAAAGATTAACAGTTCAATGAAATAATTCAAACAGTATCTTAAAGACGGCATTGAATGACCACGCCATCAGGATATCTGAGACCTGCGGATGACAATTTTACGAGAGTGCCCACTGTAAAGTTGAATAAGTTGGGTGGAAGTGCTTTTTCTTCACATGCATTTAAGATTCGGAACTCTCTCCTACAAGAAAAGCATTTATGTCATCAGTAGAAGAGTTTTTGAAGAAAAGACTTAGGAATACAAACACACAGCACAACATACCCCCCACAAGAAAAAAAATATTAAAAAATCCAAACCAAAATAAAACGCAGAAATCGAGCAAACATTTAACACAAAAAACTCACCAACAATGGAATCTGACTAGCAACAATGTGTTGGGAAGCTTTCTTGACGAGATCTTTCTCTTTCTGGAACATTTCGCTCTGAAACAGAAAAAAAACCCACAAACATTTAGAACATAACACACCACAGTTAGGCAGTGAATTGAGGCCCGTTGACGTGAATAATAATCATAAGACATTTGTCAAAAACCTACTCTCTTTAATTTGGGGTGTACGCTCTCAAAACATATTCACATGAGAAAACTTTCATTCCGACACACAGCCACCAACATAAACACTCTCATGGATGCATGCATACCACACTGGCACACATATGCATTAGCTCATGTTGGGAATAATGTTCAGTGTTAAATTCTTTTTTCTAAAAATCTTTCAGCATTCCTAATGTCAAAAATTCTTCTGAAAAGGGCAAGGCTCTACCTGATCTTTTCTTTATTTGCAAAGTTGTTTATACATTCAAAGATTTGTCCCAGAGAAGCATTTTATTCTTAGAAAATACACATTTGAACATTGACTTTTTCTTTACTCAAACCTTTCTACAGTACCAATCTAAAACATTGATCCTTGCAAAAAAACAAAAACAACAACAACAAAACCCAAAAGACAAAACCATCTCTTAGTCAAAACTTGTCTTGTGCTTTGCTCAAATAAATATTCCTCAGAGACTGAAGCACACCCTTGCCAAACAGATAACAATTGATCATCAAGTACCAGATCTGGGACAGACATCTGCTACCATGGTTTGCCATATTCCTTTGCTCCATGCTCCAAAAAGAACCAAACTATATTATCCTGGTCTTTCCCTGTCGCCCCAATCTGTCTAGGCTAGATAAATTAAACAACAGTTGTGAAATATTCCCCTCACCTCAGGCTCGGCGTGGCGTACATGAGGTTGAAAGACGTCTGGGTTGAAAGTGATGCTGAATTCTGTGACATGAAACCCAGAAATAGTTGTCAAAAAAAGATGTTATGGACATGTGACATTGTTAAGAACATGATACTACGGGTCAAAGAGACAAAGTCGGTTCTCCAACTACTACATTCAGCTCATTTGTGGCCACAGCTATCACACGGGGTGACATTTGGAGGTACAACGACCACACAGGGTGGAACCCAGCACCTGAAGCCCTTACAATAAAACAGAATAATCAGTGGTGCTGTCACAAATCCACCTGTGTCTTTAACTGAAATTTCTGTGACAAGGCCAAACTAAAGTTACTTCTGAAGTATAGCTGGGTCTTTCCACAATCTCACATTTACTGTACACGCAGAGGCCATATCTCAGTCCTATCATTCAGAATCAAGATTTAAATCATAAGACATTTGGCTCTAGGATATTCATCACTGATATGGCACTACATATACTCTGATGTAAGAACTTGTTCAAACAATACAGAAACATTAAAATAATGTTTGATAATAGCTGTAAAATAATTCTTGGCAAAGAAAAGACTTTACCTTCTACAATTTAAAAAACCCCCAATGCTCATTTCTGAACACCCTTTTCATACACAATGAAACAAGTCCAAACTCTGTTCTTCCCAGAAGGTTTTAAGTTTTACATCACCTCCAAATAAGTCATTATTGGTCTGACAAATTCAGGCAGTCATGAAAATCATGATAAAAATGTACACGATCAAAGCACAAAACTAAAGACGCCAACAGGGGTCAAAGCACCGGAAGTAATATAATGCTTCACTTGAGGACGGGACATTCACAATCTCTCTCTATCACATTTATAAGAGACATTTCAACGATCATGCTTACCTGTCTCCGACATGGAGCCTGAGGCTTCGGCAGCTTTGCGAACAATTTCTCGAGTGTCATCCTCCACTGTACCCAGGACAGAAAAATATAAACAAAAGATATATTAAAAAAATGGTCCATTCTCAATAATTTCAATAGATATCTAAACAGTCATATCTTTTAGAATCAAGTAAACTTATATGAGATATTTGGCTCACAAAAAGATCGTCATGTACGCGGTATTTAAAGCAAATATAGATTACTTTGTTAAAATGTTTTTTTTTACATCACGGCTGATTGCCTAACCTGGTGTTTGAGCTGACCGGATCAATAGACAAAACTAACAAAAACTGCACGAACCAGATAAATGTGAGATCCATTGGATTTTTAAGTCTAACAAATGTCCAAGCATCAAGTTTTACTAGAAAGTTAACGCGCAGATCATGCAATAACTGATGAGCTAGAAAAACGAACAAACAACAACTGTGAACACAATGCAAGACAGCGTGACAAAAAAAAA